ACCGTTGGTGGATCTCTTCTTCAGCCTAACCCTGAGTTTAATTAGCAGTTTAATTTCAGAATTAAGGCATAATTAATTAGTTAGTCATATTTGTTCAGTTTATTTTCTATTAAAACTATAAGTATTTTCAAAATGGTTTATGTTAAATATTATTGTCTATGTTCTATAAAGTTTAAATGTGTGTTTGTTTGTGTGTTTGTTTTCTCCCTGAGTGTTACTTCTGAGTTCAAGCTGCTGTTGTGGTTCCATCTCTTATTTGTTATCATTTATCTTTATTTTATTTGTCTATTTTTTATCTTTTTAGAATTATAATCCAAATCCCCCCAAATCTTTAGTTTTAGTTTTTAGATTTTAGTTAGTTTTTATTCAATAAAAATGACAAAGTAAACTGATTTTCATAGCCTAAAAAGTATCTTTCCTCGTAGGATCGACCCTTACTTGCCCTATCTATATGGTTTAATCAATATTAATTAATAAAGAGGGATTCGAGTTAAGGAAAATAATAAATTAATTTGTAGGTGCTACGACACGCCTATCAAGCTCTATCACTTCTAGGTACATAATGGCGGGGGCTTGACGAGAGCTTTACCAATTGTTTTTTTGTTTTATTTTATTGATAATATTTTTTGTAAACATATAAATTAAATTATTAATTTAAACATACTTCGAACCGAAAAAATACAAGAAAAAAAAGCTACAACAGAAAAAAATTGCAATGGAAAAAACACAAGAATAAAAAAGTACGTTGGAATACAACGGGAAAAAATGACAATTAGTCTTCCATGTTTCATTTAGCCCAGATATTCGCCTCTTCGGCTTCTTTTCTAGTTCGCCCCGTCAAGTGATCCATTGGAGCTCACAACGTGCGCATGTCGTCGTTTTATTGTTTTTCTTGCTGGAGAAAAATAAACGTCTTCATAGACGTTGATAACTCGTCCAACTTCTCTTCCAAATTGCTATTAACCCCCAAGGACATTGGACATTTTCCTCGGTTGTTGCGACCGGGTTGGCGGTGAGGTTCGGGTGGCATGGAGTACTCCTCATCTTCATCGGAGTCGTTCAAAGATATTTCAACTCTAGAGGAGGAATGGCCCGAACCCACATCGGTTGACAAGTGTGTCTTTGATCATTTTGAGACTTGAAGTCTCGAGACAAGATGCCACTTTGTGGATTCACGCATGACTTCTCATGCCTTGATACTCATGAGCGCCTCGCTCACAAGCGTATTGGGTCAACGCCTCACCCAAAACCTGTGCGTCGTTTTGGCCACTCCTCCGCGACCTATTCACCTTGTTCCAAATACCGTAGAATTTGGAAACCTTTGCTTGCATGTCTTGCCATTTACTCGAGATCATGTCGTTGGTACGGTATTAGTCGTGACCCATCGTCTCAAAAAATAGACTCTGAACACGAGTCTAAAACTTTGGCAATTTTTTATTACGCCCTAAAAAAAGAATAAACTTATAACTTGTTAGGAAAAACAAGATAAACAACGAAAAAATTTAAAAATAAAAAAAAGAAAAAGCGAAAAAAAATAAAAAATTTGAGGATCTTCGGAGGTGCCGATGTAGGATCTGGCAAGTGCAACCTCTTCCTCTTCCGACCATTAGGTCATGCCGGGCTTAGTAGTTTTTGTCGGCACCTCTTTCTTCATGTGTTTTCTCTTCGAGGGTGTCGGCTCAGAATCATTTGCGGGTTGGGATTGAGGAGATGCTTCAAATTAGATTTTGGGAACGTATGTATTCATTCTTGTAATCGGGTGTGAGTTGGAACGATGGGGTAGACAATTGGCCCGGTTGGAACCAATTTGGGTAATTATACGTATGGTTTGTCGGTGAATTGGGGGAACTTGGATTACTTGGGTCGATTTTGCGTCGATAACAATTGATAAAAACATTAGGATATGAAAACTTTGGGTGATACAGATCCATGATAATAAAAAAATTAGAATTGAAGATGAGAGAAACATGATGAATATGTGAATAACAGAAGAACAGATGAAAAAGATGTGTGAGGAAAAAGAAAATTATGAGTTGATTTATAGGAAGAAAAAACATTTTTTACTAAAATCCAACGGACTAAAATATGGTTGTTGACAACGTTCAACGCCAGAAATGAGGTGGGCAACGCCTGTGGTTGCCTTCAAGCCACACCCGTCACGCCGCCTATGTCATCGGTGTCATGCCGTGACGGGGCGTGACCGGCGATACCACGGCGCAGGTGACACCCCATAACACATTGTCTAATTCTCATATAGTCATATTGAACTTCTTGATAGAGATGGTCTCTTGGAGAGTCTTAGGTCATGTTCTTTTAAAGTTAAATATATTAACTTTTAACTTTTTTTCAATTTCTTCCAACTTTTTCCAATTGTTTCAACAACTTAAAAAAGTAGTTATATATGATAAATGTACAATAATATTATATATCTAAATTTATGACATACTAGCTCAAATACGAACAATGATGAATTCTTTTTTATCCAAAATTAAAATTTTCTAACATATGCATTTGGTCAATCACTAATTGAGTGACTTTTTTACATTTTAATTATTCTAACATTTTCTAACTTCTTTCCGTTTTTTCCAACATTTTCCAATTTCTTCGAACCTTTTTAAGTTTTTTTTCCAAAATCCAACTCTAAAATTTCAACCTAAAAGAAGAGAGTCTTAGAGCATAGCTTCTTGGAAAGAAGCTACAAATATTTGGTGTTTTGTCCGTTGGTGTGTGTGTGTGTGTGTGTGGGTGGGAGTGTTTTTCACATGATTTTGTACAATCGTACTCACATAAAAAACCATAGGCCCCCTCACATATCCAGAATATAAAATCACATGTCATGATATAGTGATATTAACACAAAGTAAGCACACAAATGCATACAAAAGGAGAAACATGGAAGATTTGGAACATCCCCAAGTTGAAGTAGACTCGGCATTCTTTTCCAAACGACGTTAATATTGTGAGAACACCATTAGGAAGCTTTTAAGTGAAATGATTTTCCAACCTTGACTTGCTTCGGTAATGGCGATCAGGTTTACAAACACCATTATCATCTCCATCCTCCATTTCCCTATCTCCTTCTATTGTTTCGCTTTCAAGTTCCTCCCAAGCAGCAATGGGTACGGGAAAGCTCTGTTGATTCCCACTAACTTTAGAAGCATCTTCGCGAACATCCTCCATTACTACAGAACTGCTAGATTTCTTAAGAACAAAACTTATCGATTGAGGAAGTGCATTGGATGAAGCCTCTGTTTTCCGATTCTGTGTCCACTTGTTCACCTCCTCAAGCACATACTTACAAGCTTGATTGTTGGACACGGTATCAATCTCACTACACGAATCCAAACTGTAGCGGGTGTATTTTGAAGGATTGATAAGATGATCAGGAACCTTGGGTTTATTTCCATCAGATGAACTCATTGAAGAAACCTCAAAAGACACCAGTGGTCTTGCTTGTGGGTATTCATCTGATTCATCCACAAAACTTGGATCAAATCTAACTCGTTTCCTGGACTTCCCCTCAGAATTGTCTTTCCTTTTCAATATTGGTTTCACATTAGAACAATCAACGGAAATTGATGTGCCCTCACAGTTTTCGCCACTCGGCTCAGTTTTAGGATGATTGGGTTTGTGTTTTGATGCCTCGACATCATCCTCCCTCAACCTAATTTGAGCAGCATGTTGATCTGCACGAGGATCTTTACGGAAGCAATTACTGGTCTTCCCATTCCCCTCAGCAAACCGGTCAAATTCATCTTCTTCCTCCTTCAGAAATTAAAAAAAAAGATATCAATAGTGTGAATACAGCCAATAAACAATTGAAAGAGGCAAAGAGCTACTTTTTCGTTTAAAGCAAATGCACCATAATGTACTACTTGGCAACCAAATCACGGCCCCCATAAGGCGTAGTTCAGTAGGTGTAAAGCTCAACTTAAAATGGTTAAGGGTAACCTGATTGCCGTGCTAGGCAGCCATAGGGTATGGGATGGTTTCCTGACTATGGCATGGATCTCAGCCCCTTGTGGGCACTAGTTGGCTATGTTTTCCCCCTGCTTCCACGGACTTATGACTAACCTCAGTGTACCTCCTCTACCAAAGCTAAGGGACAGGCTTGCACGGGCGCCCAGGATTGGAGCGCAGTCCTCTTTTTGACAACCAAATTATTCTTAAACTTCCAACTTCCCTTAAGAATTGAGAGTTTAAACCCAATACCTAGGTAGTGCTCCCTGAGCAATGGCCACTACGACTACAGTTCAACCCTAGATTGCTAAGCCATTTTATTATGCTCAACCAAGATGGGTTCAAATTGATATTGCAGTACAATGGCAGAATCATCTAAGATCATCTACAATGCACAACTAAAAATACATGAATGTGAAAGCCTCTAAAATTGCAATTTCATTTTCCAGTCAAACTCATGCCTTAGTGGTACATCCTTTGCAGTAAGATAAGCAGCATACGATCTGTGAAGCCAATATATTAATCCTAACCAAAGGTACAGTTATACCAATCATCACCTTCCTCAAAATGACAATTTTATACCTACAAGATGAATTGAGGGAAAAATAAAGCTGTTGAAGGAGTAAAGAGTACCTCATAATCGAGAGTTGAATCCAACCCTACGGAAGATCTGATTTCCCGAAAATCTGAACGGTCACCGTCTTCCTCGCCGCTGAGATCTTCGAGGTCGTCATCGAACCCTTCCTTGTCACCGTCTTCGTCGCCAGTGACACAATCGATGTCACCGAACCCTTTTGGACGACCGCCGCGATTTCGCTTGAACAAACCATCGAACGACGAAGAACAGATGGTGTTGTCGTCGTCTTGGCCGAGTTTTGATTTACTTCGATTCCAATCTCGCTTCTCCACCTCGTCGTCTGTGAGAGACCACAGCGGCTTCGACACCGCCGAGATTGGCAACGGTGACGAAGATAGCGAGCTGAAAACTTTGTGAACTCTTGCTCTGAAGCTGCCATCGTCCATAGGATCTGGTGATGGAGAAGCCATATTTGGTTTTCTGACGAATGATTCCACATTACAAATATAATTCATTTCTATAATTTTTTAATATACAAATTACAAGATAAAATGGATTAAAGAAGTGCATTGGATGGTGTGCAAAAATAAAGTGGACAAATATAGTGGGACGGAGGGAGTATTTATTTTTATACATTTGTCTAATATAATTATAATAAATAGCATAGTGTTCATTCTTAAAAAAACAATATTCATTCTCAAATAAGGAAATGTTCATTCTGAAATAAAGTATTGTTCAATTTTTTCACAATTAAAAAGTTCAATACCATCATCAACTTCTTCCTCTATTCGATTCGTTCCTACTCATTTATACTCTCTGAGCATGGAGAATTTAAAACCCAGGTTTATTCATGTTTGTATTGAATAAGATTATGATAATTTTTACAAGCACTGGTACTCCTTCTCAAATCTGCTTGTACTCATTGTCATATATAATAGTTCTCATATATAATCTGGGCATTAAATAAAAAGTTTGCAAAATTTACAAAAATACCAAGAAGGTACGGCTGAATGTTGCATATAATTTGCCGCTTATCACTTTTATCAAAGTTCAGAACTCCCAAGAATGGAAGAGGGGTACATCATCCATCAAGTATAATCAAAATATTACTCCCTCCATCATATTACAATATTTACTATTCCAAAATTACAATTATTTTTATTTATTTGTATATATAAAAAAATAAAAAAAAATCGTTTTCCGCAATTTATAATCAAAATAGGGATGTAGGGAGTCTTATACTCCCTCTGTCCTCAATTTGATTACAATTTGTTTCTATCCTCTCGATAACTTTTGTTTGTTTACATGATTTTATTAAGCATTTGATAAAATAAATATTCTTGTTACCTCTTGTTTTGTTGAACTTTTGACGTAATTTTTTAATATGTAATTTTTATTTCTTATTGATATCTAGATTTGTAAATAAAATGATTTCAAAAAGTGAGATAATTCTCCTCGTAAAACCCAATTTGTAATCAAATTAGGGACGAAGGGAGCATTATTGAACAAAATTTATTTTCAATTCAATTTATTTGATTGTAGGTATCAAATTTTAAAGGAAAAATTATCTCAAATAATCCCACCTTTTAGTGCTCTTTCAAAAATAATCCTACTTTTCACTCTCACCAGAAATAATACCACCTTCCCGCATATCTGCGAGTTTTGGGTCGCCGTTAAAAAACTAACAGTCACTTAACGGAAATTTTGAAAAATGCTCGTTTTTCGCAAATAAATGAAAGGTTGGATTATTTTAGGTAAATTATCCCTTTTTCGTTTTTTAATTTCTTTAAATGTATTTTTATTTTATTTTTTTGGAAAAAATACCAAATTTAAGTGTTTTTAGAGTGAAACTAATTGTTTTTTTTCAATAACCAATAATATGGTAATAATTAGAAAATAAATTATTCTACACAATAGAGCTAATTTATTAACTTCATAACTAACTACTCCCTCCGTTTGGAAAAAGTGTTCCTCTTTTGACTTTGTGTAAAAATAATGAAGTATTAAATTGTAGTTGACTTCTAATTTTGCCCTTGATGTGATAGGTAAAAGTAAGATGTGATGGATAGATTATTAGAGATAAAGTATGATGTGACAGGTAGGGTATGAAAAAGTAAGGGTAAAAATGGTTTTTTAATAGAAAGTGGAAGTGTTTTGTTGGAAGGGAAAAAATGAAAGAGGAAGTGTTTTTGATAACGGAGAGAGTACATTTTTTTTGCAAGTTGCATTTATTGTATTTTTCTTGAGCTGCACTTCAAATTATTTTTTGATATTACATTATTATTATTTCTTAAAAAAATGGCACTACAAAACTTATGAAGATTTTTCGATAGTTCTATATAAATATTTTTTGTGAAACAACATTACAATAGTTGTGAACATAACACAACAATTTTTTTCTCTAAAATAGAACTTTTATTTTTATAACTCACTACATTTTCTGATGTATTGCAATTTTTCCATGAACACTCTGAAATATTTATTGATAATCTTATATTGCAATAAAATTTTCTTTCTAAAATGGAACTACCCAATTTGTGATTTTTTTAATAATTCAATACAAATTTTTCCCCAAAATAGTAATTCAAAAGTTGTGAAAATGACACAATATTTTTTTTCTCCGAAACGGAACCCATAAATTTTATAAATCACTACAATTTTTTTCATGTAATTTCTTTCTTGATCGATACTCTGAATTATTTTTGATAATTCAATACTATATTTTCCCAAAACAATTAACAAAATTTGTTAATCGTTAGACAAATCTCTAACAAGAGTGTATTGTTATATTTTTAAAAATATTAATTTTAAATTCAAAACTAAAAAAGTAAAAAGTAAATTTTTCTAAAATAATCTCACCTTTCATTTATTTGCAAAAACAGACATTTTCAAAAACTTCCGTTAAGTGGCCATTAGTTTTTTAATGGTGACCCAATACTCGCACACATGCAAAAAGGTGGGATTATTTCTGGTGACAGTGAAAAGTGGGATTATTTTTTAAAGAGCGCGAAAAGGTTGGATTATTTGAGATAATTTTTCCAATTTTAAAACAAAATTTATATAGTAAAAAA